CTAACTAGTTATCTAACCTCGGGGAAACCAAGATATATAAATAATAACCAAAAATGTAAAAATGTAGAAAAATAAAATAAAAAATAAAGAAAAAATAAGAAATATGTTAGTTTTGCCTTGACCGGCGCAATTGGGCGGGTCCAGCACGGCTATATAGAACGACATATAGATACAAGGCTACCGACGGGAAGGGCAATTTGACACGCAAGGCGAAGATGGAAGAAGGAGAATATGACGGGACACTACACTAGGCTAGGACACTACTCGGCATCGGTAATTGATGGGGTGATGATGGGCGGGCAAAAAGAGTGCAAAGGTGGAAACCAAGATGCAACATCAAGCCAGTCAAGGCGGCAAGACACGAGAAGTCTGGACTCCGGAGCCCCAACGGCCAGCAGCACCGGCGCGGGAGGCAAAAAGAGGCGGCAAAAACTTCAAGCAAAAAGCCAGGAAAACGCCAGGATAGTTAGTTGGAAGTAGTCTTGAAGTAGTGACTCTAGTGAGGAGTAGTGAGGGACACCGTCGTTGGTTGGGGGGCATGAGATGAGGGCTTTGGGGGGGGGGGGGGGGGGGGGGGGGAGGGGCGAGAGAGAACCACCGCAAGAAAATTAAAAATTATTGTTATTATTCTCGGGCCGCGTATTTTTGTCATTATTGCATCTATATCGCGGCATATCATCAGAGAGAATGAGAGGAAGATGAAGGGAAATATTATCTACTATTGAAGGACAAGAAAGAAAGATCCATTTGATAGGGCTAGAATAAGCTTGTTTGATATGTCAGCTGCAACCACGATGATGTCGGAGGCTGCTTTTTCTTATTCTTTTTCTTGTTCTTTTTTCCTTCTTTTTTCCTTCTTTTTTCCTTTTTTTTCCTTCTTTTTCCTTCTTTTTCCCACTTTGCTTTGCCTCTATTTATGCATGCTCTGGTTGGTTTGTTCGGACATTTTTCTTCTATTATTATTATTATTATTATTATTACACAGTACGGAGTAAATAAGTAACTACAAGACAATATGATCCTAGTCCGTAATGGGAAAGTTAGGTTAGGGCTAAGCAAGGGCCAAACCCTGGTTCGGGATGCGTGATTACTCAGCACGCGAAGGCAATTGGGCTGACTCAGCTCGCTGCAGAACATTTGCTACGCCGCCTGTACCTGATTGAGGATTGAGTTGGGGGGCAGTCCATGGGTAGAGAAGGGGAAAGACGTTTGTTATTTTTCCTTGCTTTCTGTTATTTCAATTTTATTTTGGTATTATGTAGTTATCTATCAAATCATTTCCTATTATTATTATTATTAATAAGGTACTTATTCCTGTACCAAACCACTGGAACCACATACCACCTCAACATACAAGCGTACAAGCAGTGAAATAATAAACGCTGATACAGAATGCAGACGCCAACAAACTGCTGGTTTTGTCAACAGCAACAGAGAGAGGTGAGCTGTATTCATCCACGCAGGTAGGTAGGTAGGTACAGAGCAAAGTAGAGAGTATATAATCATCCTGCCATCCCAAAAATTTCTGCTGTGGAGTTGCTGATGATAATAATAATAATGTCTCTCTTCCTGCGCCCACTCTAGCGCCTCCCTAGCCTCCTTAGCCTCTTTAGCGCCCAGCCCCCAAAGCCACCAACACGAGCCTCACGGTATCCGATACGCCCCATTACACCGTGTTACCGCGCCAGATACCAGGTGCACCGCCCTGTCTCACCGACGCGGTGCGGCGGTGACCATACATGACGTACGTGTCCTCGCCTCTTTTCCTTTTCCATGTTGCTTGGCGGCTCCGTTGTGTTGTGCCATCTTGGCCTCAGCCTCTGCCCGCCTTGTCCAAACCTCCAACCTCCAACCTCCAACCTCCAACCTTTCAACCTCAACCTCTATCCTCTCTCTCTTTCCCCCTCCTCCTCCTCTCTTGATCCTCTCTCCATCCTCTCTCTCTCTCTCCATCCTGTCCTATCTCCAACTCCATCGTCAACGCCATCGTCAACGCCATTCCCACCTCCCACCACCACCATCATCATTTCGGAAGCTCCCTTCACCCCAAATACGTCGGGATGGTCCCAATCTAGCCCTCCCGTCTGCCCGTGTTCCTGCTCTCGAGTTCGAGTTCCCTAGTCGCACAAAGTCAAGGCACTTGACAGCCAAATAATTATACCTCCTTCACCTCCGTCTGCGACCTACAAATCCCCATCCATTCCTGTCTGCTAGACACTACGTCGTAACTTGGAGCCACGTCAACATCCCATATACCGGCGCCCGCCAATCTCCTTCCTTTCGTCCTCTACATCTAGCCGTATCTGTTCTCCTCTACATTATATATATATATATATCTATACAGTATATATGACATGTTTTATATATTTGCCGTTCCCGAACCAAGGCAATATCAACAACCAAATAAGTCTTAATCTGACGCTTCGCCGTTGCACAACCCCTGTCGCCGTCTAAAACAATTACACTCGCTTCATTTGCTATTCGGTCTGATATCCTGACTAGCCGCTGCTACACTTTAATTGCTTTTTTCTTCCCTTTTCTTTTTTCTATTTTCTATTTTCTATTTTCTTCCCCAAAGGGCTACTTTCGCGATATATTTTACATACGCGCACACAATAGCCACACATCTAGTCGAATGATAAGCCAAGGAGAGATCCATCTGTTTGCCGATCCGTTTCTCTGCACGACTTTTTGATCTTGGGGGCTTTCTTTGCTTCATCCTTGGAGGTTTTGATTGTTCTTTCAAATTCTCCGCGCGGATAAAGACCTATTAATTGCCTTTGGGTCAAGTCAAGCGAACAATCGCCCCTCCTTGAAACACGATCAAAGGAGAAATCAAGGATCTATAAAATAACCCTTGACCTTAGATCTGTCTGTCCTTGAGACCAATATTTTTTTGTGACAATGTCCAGCGGGAATCCACCAGGTATGTACAATAGGCATTTCGTTTATCTCGCAACGGGAACCATACATCTCCCCATGCTAACCTACCTACCCTTCTTTATAGATCCAACCGGGGGGAACCCAAGTCCTTCTCTTCCCGACTCTCCTTCTAATGAGCCAACTCAACCGCCATCAGAGCCGACACAGCCGCCACCGCCCACTACACCGTCACCCCCATCTCCAACCGTACCGCCCCCGAACCCCCGGCCCCCGCCCCCAGAACCTTCACAGCCTCAGCCTCCACGGCCCACCACATCAAGTACTCCGAGACCTCCCTCTCCCGGACCCCCTCCCCCTGCGACTACTCCTCCCCCGGAGTCGCCATCACCACCCCCACCTGCACCGACCACAAATCCGGGAAACCGTTCAACTGTAACAATCACGTCCACCGCTTCAATGCACCACCAGCTGGTGCTAGAGGCGCCCCATACTCTAATTCTGGACTACCAGCAGCAGGGCCTCATCCACGACGCAGAAGCTCTCGCTCAGCAAGTCGTTTCTTCTA